ATAATTATTTTAAATTATATCTTTAAATTTTTAAATTCAGAATTTATCACCAAATGTAACGAAATTTGGTAAACTACATACCAATGATGGACACATTATAGCTTCTTAAATGGTATCAAAAAGTAGAAATAATTATTCTGTATCAGTAAGGGTAGTAATATTTATTACGTAATATCAATTTAATATAAAGCTTGATTCTCACCCCCACTTAAGATAACTAAGGCAAGTCACATGACAATGATCATATATAATCATTGGACTTTATTATAACAATATAATAGGGAAAAAATTTGTATTAGCTTGAAAAGTTGGCTATTTAACAAATCCTTTTTTTTGTTTTAATATAAATTAACTGCAGGAGGTTTACCTTTTGATACAAAAAGAGTGGCAGAACTTTGCTATTTTAATATAAATTAACTGCAAGAGTTTTCATTTTGATACGAAAGTATTTTTAATAAATTTAGCTATAGAATTTTCTGTTTTAATATAAATTAACTGCAGGAAGGCTTATATTTTAATATAATTAGCTACGAAAGTTTTAATATATTTATCTATAAAAGAGAATTTAATGTATTAATATTTCACGCTTTTATAATAAAAAAATAAGTATTGTTCTCAAAAAAACGTGTCTACTTTTATTTTGAAAAATGAGTTATCAAACCTACTTTATTGGCCCTAAATTTAATAAAAAATCAATTTACAATTCGCTAGTTAATAAGTATCAGGAATTCACTAATGCTTATGTATATTGTACTATGGTAAAAATGGGAAATAGTATTTCAAATTGTGCTATTATTTGTCATGAAGCAGCAACAGAATGGACAAACATTAAAAGTAAAAGTGCTACAGAAATTGACAATATAATTAAAGAATACATCACTACTTTAACTCACCTATATAATATACCAACAATAAGAGTGAATCGTCCTAAACCTATACTAGAAACAGTTTCTCCCCTTCCTATTATTAGTCCAGTCGAACCTATACTAGAAATTTCTAAGAATGTAACAGTTCAAAGGAAGATAGTAAAAGAGATTAAAATAACTGAAGAAAAACTTGCTAAATTAAAACAAATTTACAATATCACAACTGACACTCATATTCAGCATGATATATATATAAAAATAGAAAAAGCCGAATCAGAAATTAGTTCTAATAAGAACAAAATTAATAAACTAAAAAGAAACGTGAAATATGCTCAAAATTGTAGAGCAAAAAAATTTAAAATACTTACTGAGAACCAAGAAGTCATTCGTTATTACTTTTCGAACATCCAGATCTACATGATCAAATCCACAACTCAGTTGAGTTTGGATCAGCCGATTCAAAAAGGCAAAAGGAGGTGGTTAAGATACGCATCATTGAAAATTTGCGTAAAAATTTGGAGGAGAGATATAATATTTATATGACACGAACAACATTAAAGAATTATCTCTTATCTCGCCAATCCAATTCAATTGCTGCAAAGGCTCACTATTATCTGACATGGGTTGCTATATTCAGAGTTTCACATATAGATACTCGAGAGCATTCTGATGGGCATTATTGTTTTGCATCTGTCAAATATGCAAGACAATTTGCTTCTATGTTTGCTGATATATCCGTTATTGTTTCTCAAGACGATAAAGCAAAAGTGGGTCTTGGAGTACCTGCAGTAGGTCGAACATTTCAAACCTTACAGTCAATTAATGAACCTGTATCCATAGCCGATCACGATTTTCCTATTGGATATAGACAGAAACTAATTCCTTCGGTATATCTAATTATTAAACCAAATGAATTAAAAGATGAACTTTGAACAGGACAACTTGCAATTTTTACACGTCCCTAATAGCCTATTGGTATATTCTCGCTAATACATGTGCAGGATCTAGAAAGTCTTACCTTAAATTTCTAATATGATGATGCATTGAAGACCAATAGACAAATTCGACCTCTTTGGATATTATTAGTAAATAGAAGGCCGGACAAAAATCCCAGACATTTGAAAAACATAATGATATACTGTCAACTTTTAAAAAGTTTGACTTGGATTACCTGAGTGTACAAACGCATGCATCAGAGTAATCTAAATTCAATCCCGTCGAAAGAGACATGGCAACGCTATCCGGCAAACTTGCTAAGATCACATTACCAATTGACCACTTTGGCAAGCATTTAGATTCGCAAGGAAATGTCACAAATCCTGAGTTGGCTTCTCAAAATTTTCGATATGCTGGAGAGGCTCTTTGCAATATTTGGAGTCGTGATTCGATTTTTGGAAAACATATTGATGCTTGATATATTGACACATTTACAAATCCGTTTGAAAATTTAGAATTTAAAGGTATAGAAAAAGAAAAGGCCAAAGAATTAAAAAGACAAGAAAAACAAAACCAAAAAAATGCAAAAAAGAAGGATGAAGCACTTACCTTTCCCAAACGCTTTGTTCTATGATCTTGGATTGAAAAACACTGCAATTTATACACATATTCCATTGATATCAGAAAATGCAAAGATACAAGTTGTTGTAGACTACAAGAAGCAATTGAATTTCTTGAAAGCTACAATAGTTTCTTACCACCTGTTACAAAAGCTAAGGATAGATACTTTACGAATCCTATTCACTTACTCTAGTATTATATTTGTCTAAAAATCCCAGGCTACGATGCTCATTGTCCATCTCTTGAAAAAAACACATACTTCCGTCTTTGTTGTTCTACATGTCAAAAGTACTTTCCTACCCTTACTTTCCTAAAGAACCACAAGAAAACAGCACACCTTGCAACTCGAGGATGACCCAAAGGCCAATTTAAGAACCAGAATAAGCCGCTTGATGATTTTTCTCTTCTACCTTCACAATGATCAAATATTGTTCTATTTGAATTAAGGGAATATGTGTCAGATGGAGAATAAGTACGTGTTGAATTGCAGTATTAATAAATATTTTTGCTTATCACCATATACTTTATCTGTCATTATAATATAAATAATCACGTGATATATATATCTAAATGTAACGTAAGACATCTCTTAGAAGCCTCTGCCACCCCCACCTCCAAAATATTACGTAATATATGTTAGCGCCTAAGTATTATAATTATTATTATAATTATAATTTTTAATTAATTAATAACGTTTATTTTTATTTTAGATTAATATTACTACTGA